GGTGACATTTCAGGGCTTAAAATCAAAAGAACTTTTGGGAGATGGACCTAAACAACATTTTGATATTTCCAACCATCCCAGATGTGATTTCCGACCAGCTTCAAAAGGCCGACTAGGACAAGTCATAGATTTCCTCGCTCATCATTATCTCATTAGTTTAGTATCTAACTAGTTTTTCTTGTATACATTAAGGCAAGAAATTAATTCCTCATTTCTAGGTTCTGTGACCTTATGATTTCTCTCCACCGAAGCAGTATGCAGTGTACTCGAGACAGTATCGTGTACGAAAACAAAAATGAAAATGACGTCATTCGTTTGGTGCCAGGCTGTTCCTACAGGCGATTCATTTTCATTTAGTTCAATGAGTTGCATGATGGGCACATACATTAATATTCACCATTTGGCGGAAACTGCAGTGATTGGCTGTGCGTGTTAGATTCACAATAAATTGAATGCAAAAACAAAATATCCCAAAATGTACAAATAAAAATACAGCACACAAAGCAAAAAGCATAGTCTTCCGCAGTAACCCGGACTGTGCAATGACCAATCTAACATCTGGTATCTTCTGAAATTGATGAATCATCCCTCCAAAATAAACACAATTTTCACCGTTCAAACATCACACATCCCGCGTTAAATTAAAGCCGAATTACGACTCGTGCCCGAGAACACGCGGCATGGCCCGCAACATTTGTAAATAACCCGGACCGAGGAAAGCCCGTTCTAAAAATAGCCCCACACGAGCAGCTGTAGCTGTGGTAGGAAATCATATTATAATGAACAACCCTGAATTGTACATCGCGCGCATGTCTGCCGGACTGATAACTATACCATATCTCATCTGTAGTATTAATTTGATCGATTTTTTCCCCGCGCGAACAGAGTTCCGCGCACGAGGTGTTGTTGCAATCGCTCCGTGCGCAATTGACGTGCATAGAGCACATTACACAACGAACGAGCTGAGGGATGGGTCATCCTTGTCGATGTCATGTCACCTTACACCAAACGGAACGTGTGTCCTCTGGCTTGGGGATATGTCACTTACTTCCCTAATATAAATATTTTATATTCTGTCAAATGGCTGATAAGTTTGGGCTGAAAATATTTCGCTTTCAAAGCAAGGTTTACGAAACCGAAACGGTGAGACAGCGTCTGTGTTTCCTTTTTTTGTAATAATGCAGACATTTGACTTTCCTTTTTCAACATGCAATTAATTTAGAAGAAAAAAAGGAAGGAAAAGGTAAAAACAAAATGCAAGAGGTTGATACTCAAATTTAAACCGATGGCTGCCAAGAAACTCAGATACTCAAAATGCAATAGATTATCCGTAGAACATACATAGTGAGAAATATTCCAATTACAGTTGATTGATGAAAATCGACGGATGATAATGCGAGCTTGGAACCTATTCAGGCAGGAGTTATAGGCTAAAATCTGCAAACGGAGATAACGCAAATGTTTTAAGAAATTGTCAAGATTTCATTTGCTTTCCGATGTTAATAATCAAGACCCCGTGGTTATAAAAGGAAGCCAACATTCAAACAATGAACGACTCGCCTTTTCCTTGTTTGCATGAAATCTGCCAGAATGTTTCGCTGGTGCTGGTTAATTTTGACGATCAGTTTGGCCTTAAAATAATTGAAGTATTAGATTTATAATATCCGAAAAACAGCATGACTGTGCGCAGCTTGCTTTGTTACTGAAGCTGTGCTTAAATGCACTCATGCTTAGTGAACTACATTTTTTTGTTGTTGTTTTTGTTTTGTCTTTCTCTACGTTTCATTCCAGAATGACTTCCTCCCAGAAATAAAACTTTCCCAATTCAATGCCGAAAGTGCGTTTGAACCATATTTGAACCAGTACACTTCCTGGCTTATAACCATATTATCACACACTGACATCCATCATGGTCGCGGCTATGCCCTTTGAAATCGGGAAGTCGTGTCCATAATAACTGGAAGAACACAGACATCCACTATTCAGCGCATACAGACTTGTGGAACAAAAAAAACCATTCCCACTTCCCGTTTGTTCATTTCGCCGAGACCTACTCCTCACAGGTCGACTACCTGTTCTGCACATTTTTATACCCATCTATCTATAAAGTTTTCAGTGAACCTTCAGCGCATACACTTTTCAAGGAATTAAAAATAATATCCAACAGAGAAATCTTTCTTTTCTTGTTAGTTTCCGCAAGCTCAAGAGTCCGAAAAGGGAGCATTTTTACGTTAAATAATGGGGCCCTAGATTGATGGTCCTGGTAGAAACATGTGTCAAGAGGTAAATTTAATGGTCACTTTTTTGGTGTCTATTTTCTACTACGCGGATCTGAATAAACAGAGGATCCTCGAGTGGAAGTTTTCACATAAACCATGAAGTTAACAAGTCTGGGACAGTTTGTGGTTTTTATTTAAAACAACACTGAAACTAGGAAGCAACCGAGCGGATTTGACAATTTTCCCCGTTTATCCCAGCAGGGTTGAGCTCAGCAGACTTATGTAGAGGGGGTTCCAGCGACTGGATCGAGTACGACCCCACAGAGAAGATGTGCTGCGCTGGAGTACTGCACGCCATCCGAGAAGACATCCAACCCTACTCGTGCTGTAAGCAAACTTACAGTTTATTTCCCCCGCCCCCTCCCCTCTCTCGCTCCAGAAGTTTAACAAAAGGCTGTCCAGGACTTTTAAAAACGACATCTCTGCAGATCTGGAGTTTATACACAAACTTCTACGAAAAGGAAGTAGAAAGAAAAGTGGGGCATATTGGGTCAATTGTAGACGTCGTCGTTTTCAAAAATTCCCTTTCCATAAAATACAACTATTCTAATGCATTCACTCATTTTGAAGGAGAAACTACCCATGAAATTCTCGTGTTTGCCCATTCAAGATTGGAATGGATTTATTTCAAATATTACTCTAGCCTTAAGTTTCCAACTTGAAAATATAATATGCAAAATCATACCAATTTATCAATACAATGCGGTGATAACATTATAGGGCAATTCAACGAGTGCACGTACAATACAATTAACATGAGTCTAGACTTACACCCTTAAATATGGAAGATGCAGAGTGTTTCAAGAAGTTGAATCTCGCCTGCTGTGCATTCAGGAATGAGACTTCATACGGTCAAACTGACTACTGAAACTTAAGTTTCCTCTTCCAAACTGGAGCTCACCTCAGATTAGGTTTTTCTCCATCGGATTGATTCAATTGGGATATTTTTCCTCCTGCATGCATCATGCTTAGTCATTCTAATCATGCAGGGATAAATGACTAGGCAATTTACAGTTCAGCATTGTTGATTGTCGGTGACTTGCCATGGTGCCTGTTCTTTTATAAAAACCGAAAAGATGCATGGTCTTGATATCCAAGGAAAAAAAATTAGGGAGACTTAAGAATTTAACAAAAAGAAATCAATCCCTAATCACTGCAGTGGTCTGAAATGATTTGATAATAATTCCACATCACCAAAGTGTTATGGAAGTTTACACTGTAGTTTATTTTCTTATCCAACGCAATTTATTTTCTGGTGAGAGACATAAAAACATTGATATTTGATGTATACCAAACAGCCCGTAAGCTCTTTTTAATAACGGGTACATGTATTTATAAAGTGCACATTACTGGTGCTCAAGTCACTAGATCATTACTACCCCTGCTTGTCAAGCCAAGAACATTCCTGGAACTGTCTCAGCACCCAGGGGAGTGGACAGCTCAACACTGCCATTTCAAGAGCGAATTGCTAATCAAATGCAGTTACCCCTGCCTTTTAGATACCCATTATTGGCAGTTTTCCACCCCTGAGAGGAGAAAGACAAATGGGGGAAAGTGACTTGCTTGAAGATTAAATAAGCAGCTGCTGGATTTGAATCCTACACCCTATGTTGAATGTTACAAAGCTTAGCCACTGGATCATACACTTCTGGTGTTGGCTATTTCAAGTTCTGATGGGGGGGGGAGAGGCCACCGGCAGACAAGAACAATATAATCAAATAACAACTGATCCTTTTTTTTTTCTCCACAGGCGGGGCAGATCTCTACAATCTGGCCAGCCAGCGCTGCTGTAATGGACAGATCCTCGATCCCGCCCACAACCGAAGCCTAGGATGCTGCATTCCCCATAGTGGGTCCAACCAGTCCGTGCAGGTGTACAACTCGGATACACAGATCTGCTGTCGGGGGACACTGGCAGACAAAGCCGAAGGTAACGTGGGGGTTTGGGACAGGCACTCATCAGTGGCT